GGAAGGGAAGGGAAGAAGGGGAAGACGAGAAGGGGAGGGGAGGGGAGAGAAGAAAGGGAAGGGAAGGGAAAGGAAAGGAATTTTCAATGTTCCCTGCCAGCTTCCCCTAAGGAAAGTCAATGGGGAAGCCAGCAGGAAGTCGGAAGTCATTCCTGCCCCCACTGCTTTTTGGCCTGCCTGTGGTCATTCTGTTCCTCTCTACAGATAAGGATATAATCTCGGAAACAATGACCTAATGGGCCACAGGTTGTTTGGTAACGTTTTAAAACTTGGTGACAGGTCTACCTATTCTAAAGAGGAAGAACAAAGAAGAGCCGGAAAGGAAACTCCCTTGACGCATTGATGCTCCGATCCTCGCTCGGGTTCTGATGTTCCTTGTGGCATCGGACGTGGCTGTGGCTGTGGGGAGAGCAACAGGGATCCATCTCGGCTTCTCTCTTCACTCAGCTTCTCCCTGCCCAACCAGACCACCTTGTACGCCGCAGTGCCTAGCAACAAGTTCTGGAAATTTAAAAATAGCTGGCACATTTTCTCTCTGATTTTTTTCGCCCGTTTCCAAGGAGAGGCAATCAGGGGGTAGGATTAAGTCGGGTTCAGCTGTCGAATTCAGCAATTAACCCCCTGAAGCCGGTATAGATTGGGAAATGGGAGTTCTGGCGTTCGCTTTAGGAAACCGGGCAGACTCTGAAACGTAAGCGTTGTCAGTCGGATCTTTTCGATACGCGTATTTAACTCCACGAAACATTCAGAAATGCTTTGTGTATCCAACCTCTCTATCCATCTGTGCCTGTGTGTGCTGAATTCTGCCTGTGTTTTGCCCCAGCTACGGACCCCAAAGAACGCAGCACACACAAAGCCTGTACAAACCTTAGTTTACTAAATTAAATCAGTTTTTTTCAAACAAAGGCTGTTAATTAACTTTCTCAACAGCCTACAAGAATCCAAAGAATAAATAATCGTAATCTTACTGTGGTTGGCAGAAAGCCCAGAAGCAATTTGCAGAGAACTAAGATCAAGACGCGAAGGAGAGTGAATGAAGTTGTTCCCTGCAAATTGCTTCAGTCGGCGTTCCTCCTTAAATAGGCTAAGGGAGTGGCCAATTAGCCCCAAGCCTTACTCTCGAGGAGACCTCTTCCTGAGGAGCCACTCCTGCCTTTTAGCAGCTCTGTGCGCTCGTGCATCGAGAAGAGGCTCCTCCTCTTCTTCCTCTTCACTTAAGGGAGCTTCTGGAGGTTCTGAAGGCCCTGGCTGAATCCCCGCCTCTGGCACCACATCTTCTCCAGCCTCCTCATTATCCGACTCGAGTGCCAGCTGCACAGGCTGCTGGCGCAGCACCACACCAGCCTCCTCGCTGTCGGAATCAGCTACTAGCTGCACAGGCCACAACAGCCTGTGAAATGTTTATTCGTTGATTTAAAGGTATTGGCTGCCAACTCTAACGGACCAAGATATACGGTCCACAAATTGTCCAAAGAGACAATTGTCCAACTTCATTTATTAAAAAGCCTCTCTCCTCCATGATAAATCTCATCTCATCAATCTTTTTCCATCCATCTAGCTTTAAAAATATGGGAGTGGGGGGGGGAGAGAGGAGGAGCTTTTAAAAGGTTTTGTTATCAACCAATTCATTCTCAGCCTTCAAAACTATTTTCCCATTCCAAATATTGGAAATTATTAAAAAGGGTCTTTTTCCCCTCCCCAGAAATCTCCACCGATTCTAAAACTTCAAAAAAAATAAATAAAACAAAAATAAAACAAAAAGGCCATTTAAGTGCCTCTTCCATCCCATGTTTGTCATCCGGTACTTCTTTTTTCCCTCCAAGGAAAATAAATAGTTTCTTTCTCCTTTTATGACTGTCCAAGTCACAAGATCATGATAAACTCAAATCAGCAGCTCCATAATTCAGGCTTCAACTTCTAGGCTGCCCAAATTGGAAACTTCCATAGGAATATGTGTGTGTGTGTGTGTGTGTGTGTGTGTGTGTGTATAAATTTATTATTTTGCTGATAACGAAATAAAGGGAGACTAGTATAGATCTATTTCAAGCTATTTAGCTCTCATCAGCTAGCCATACCCTTACTTGGATTCGAACTTGGCCTTCCTGCATGTTAGGCAGTTGTATCCTCTGATGAAGGGAGGAGAACTTGTGGCTCAGAGGTTAATACAACTGCCTAACGTGCAGGAAGCCCAAGTTTGAATCCGAGTAAGGGTATGGCTAGCTGATGAGAACTAAATAGCTTGAAATAGATCTATACTAGTCTCCCTTTATTTCGTTATCAGCAAAATATAAATTTGGTATAAAATGAGGTTTATCGTGAATGCGACGGCTTGAGGGCTCCGGATTGGAGCTGAAAGGCGAAAGGGATGCAGTATGCTCCCTCTCACATGCTGGGGTAGACCACACTTAATATGTGTGTACCCTGTTTCCCCCAAAATAAGACATCCCCTAACAATAAGCCCAATCGGACTTTTGAGCACTTTTGAGCGCATGGCAATAAGGCCAAGCGCTTATTTCAGGGTTCAAAAAAATATAAGACAGGGTCTTATTTTTGGGGAAACACAGTATAAGGGAGATGCGGTGGCTCAGTGGCTAAGACGCTGAGCTTGTCGATCGAAAGGTCGGCAGTTCAGCGGTTCGAATCCCTAGTGCTGCATAACGGGGTGAGCTCCCGTGACTTGTCCCAGCTTCTGCCAACCTAGCAGTTCGAAAGCACGTAAAAAATGCAAGTAGTATATTACTATAGTATATAGTATATAGTATATAGTGTATAATTATTATACATAATAATAATAATTGGTTCTACCATATTTATATCTCTTCCCTCAAGCAGGATCTCCCAACCTTAGCAAAACTTTAAGACTTGTGGACTTCAACTCCCAGAACTCCCTAGCCGGCAAGGAATTCTGGGAGTTGAAGTCCACACATCTTAAAGCAGCTAGGTATTGACTGGGGACTTCTGGGAGTTGAAGTCCACAAGCCTTACAGTTGCCAAGGTTGGACACCCTTCTTCTAAAAGTTGGGCATGATCTAATATGGAGTTGCCCTCCTCATCCCGAAAACGCGTTCTGGGGGTGCAAAACGAACCCCCCTTCTAACAAGAAAAGGGGGGGCCCTATTCCCTTTGGCTCGGTGATTCCCTGGGGTTGAACGAAGGTGGTCTGGGAGCCCACAGCCCACCAAAAAGAAGGCCGGAAGAAGCAGAAACAAAGGAAATTTCTCCACCAGCCTTCCCAAGTCCAGACGCAGATGGACTGCCAAATTCCCCACAGGGCCTAAATGCATTTTGGCTGGGATGAATGAAAACAAGACGAGGGGATTATTGGAGGAGCAGCCATATGTTCCTTGCCGTACAACGCTGTTTAAAAGCACTTTCCCCCCCCAATCACCGTGATTAATGGTGCGCCTTCTTACCAAGTCATACATTTCTAGGAGCAAAACTAAATGGGTTGGAATACAACGGCATTATTGCTTAAAATGCAAAACAAACTCCCACGAATGTCCAGCAGTTTGAAGAGAAGATGGGAAGATATAAATGCCACACCCAAGGAGGTTCATGCTGTACCCAAGGAAAAGTCCACATGGGGCCATTGGAAGCTTTGAAGATTTGAGCTGATTTTTAAGGAACTAGCAGGAAGTCAGAGAACTGAAGTCATGGGAGCCTCAGTTCTCCACAGGAAACATGCTTTGAAAGCTGGAATAAGAACATCTTTATCCTATTTCCTACCCATATTTGAAGCTCTTAGAACAGAAAAGAAAGAGAAATTATTTTCAGAACAAGCCAGACTAATGGTAGTTATCTGCTGTGAAGGGAAGGATTTATTTATTTATTTATTTATTTATTTATTTATTTATTATATTTCTATACTGCCTTTCTCCCGTAGGACTCAAGGCGGTGTACAGTCAAGAAAAATATAGACACACAAACATCATAAAATTGCTAATTAAAATTATTACTTAGTTTGGTCAATTAAATAAAACCCAGAATTAGATAACATTTAAAAAATCATTCACATGTTCGTATGTTTAGCCCTGCCTGTTGGAACATCAGGATGAACATCTGGTGTCCAAAATACAGGACTGGCATACGTGGGTTGGAACTTGGGTTGGAAAAAAAAACCCATTGAAATCTGAAAACAGATTTATAGAGATCCATCAGCTGCTCTTAGTATGAGTGAAAACAAAGAAAATTGAAAGTTGGATCTCCTGGAGTTTCAACCTACATCATGAAGCAGAGTTCCTGGACTTCTATCTTGCTGGGCACTCCAAATTTTTCTGTATTTCTGGGAATTGCACATTCCTGACATCAAACTATGATCCTTTGGTGTGGACAGACCACGCAATTCCGTCTCAAAATATCTAGGAACTGGATGGGAATTCCCTTCAGACAATCAGGCATGCAAACGTAACATGGTTTTTCCCAACCCCTTTCGAAATTTGCTTTGGCCACCAACAAATAAGACAACCACATCTTCGTGAGACCAAGTAGGCTCAGGTTACTGACACAAATCTATTTTTTTCTAAAAACGTTGCTAAGAAATCGAAGCATCATCAACCCGAATCCAAATGCCGAGGAGAACTTGCCCATCCTCTTATCACACCAGTTTTCTGCTTTCATTTGAAGCTCTAAACATTAGGACTAAACTTCACCGCAAAGTTTACCGTTCCCATCTCCCGTACTCAGCAAACTGTGAATTATTTAAGCCAGTTTTTCTCAATCTCAAGCCACTCTCAGATGTGTGGACTTCAACCCCCAGAACTCCCCAGCCAACAAAGAATGCTGGGAGTTGAAGTCCACATCTCTTAAAGTCAGTAAAGTTTGAGAAACGTTGATTTTTAAATCTCACCAAAACGAATGGTTCTTTGCAAAGCACCGGCCAAACTGCCCAGCATTTCCACTCCAGTCCTCTCCCTCCAACTTCTCCCGCACCCCACATCTCCCCCCACGCAGCCCCAGAGGAACTGAGCACCGCCTGGAGACGAAGCCGACGCATCCTTTACCTCCAAGAAGCTCTCTTGCACGACATCCCACGTTTTTTCCCGGGCCTGGCAGGCAAGCATTTTTCACAACGCCTTCCCACCCCAAGCACGGAGTTCTTGGCTCACGCTGAGCAACTCCTCCTGCCTTGGAGGAGACCCCAATTTTCCTTCTTCCACGGGAAGCGAAGATGCACAGCTGATGGCCAACCTCTCCCAGGGTCCCTTAGGGGCAGCCCCTTACTGCAAAGGGGATCCTGGACCCCAGGTCAAGGCTCACACTGGGCATGCTCCAAGGAGAGCAGCCGCTTGGGAGATGCCTTCCCAATCTGTTCCCGCAGAACAGCTCCTTCTGCAAGTCCCAGGAACAAGGCAGGAAAAACATCTGCAACATATTTCCAGAATATGCCGGCCTCTCTCTCTCTCTCCACGCAAAGAGGCTGCGAGCACTTAAAGGAAGGAGGGGAGGGCGAGGAGGGGGGAGGTCCAAAGTGGCCTGGCTAAAAAAAGGGAAATGCATTAAAAAAAATATACACAGACACACAGACACACAAGAATTAAAAGGAGCCCAAAGGTTAACAGGGATTTCCAACTTTTGAAAAAGCTGAAAGTTAGTCCAAGCAGAGCACACACTTCATTTATAAACACAAACTTCGCAATGCCTTGCAGGTAGATCCTGTTTAGCAAAGTTAATAGATCCCACAAAACCGCCACGTCGTTTGAATTTACACGATTCCATTCCTTAGGGGAAATAGGGTTCCAGCTTAATGGAAATCAAGCAGTTAAAAATTGTGCGTGCATTTTGTTTTTTAATATGGACATGACTGAAATACTACAGGAAAGTGTAAAAAAAAGAAAAAGTACCGGTAATTTAAAATGACAGTTCACAAAGTCACAGAGTAGTTACAGAAAGCTAAATGAAGTTTGGTTCTCCCAGCAATCTTGCGGATGTGAGTTGTGTTGCCTTCTTAACTCTTTTTTTTTTTTTTATTTGATTTATATGCCGCCCTTCTCCGGAGACTCAGGGCGGCTTACAATGCGCTAAGCAATAGCCTTCATACTTTTGTATATTTATACAAAGTCAGCTTATTGCCCCCACAAACTGGGTCCTCATTTAACCTACCTTAGAAAGGATGGAAGGCTGAGTCGACCTTGAGCCTGGCGAGATTCGATCTTACTTTAATTGCAGGCAGCTGGTCTTAAATTACAATGCCTTGTCTGCAGAGCTATCCAGGCTCCTTCTCTTCTCCTTCTTCTTCTTCTTCCTCCTCCTCTTCCTCTTAAGTTTAAGTTTATTTTATTTGTCAAGATATATAACAGGTGAAAGATAAACATAATTGGAATACATGAAACGAGTAAGTAAAAAGGAATATTAGGACAGAGATGGTAGGCACGCTGGTGCACTTACAGACCTCTTAAATATGGGGTGAGGTCAACAGTAGACAGTTTAAGGTTAAAGTTTTTGGGGTTTGGGGAAGAAACTTTTGGGGAAGAGTCAGGTAGTAACTCTTTTCTGCATATTTCTAGACTTTTAAAAAGCAGAGCTGAACAGAAGATCAGAGTGGAGATTATGCAGTGCCAATGAATGTGACATCACGTAGAAAAGAATTGATTGATTTATCTGCACAAATATTATGGCAATAAGCCAATTGGCAAGACCCAGGAAGTGGATGGTTAATGCGAGATGTAATTAATATCTCAGCCACGTTTGGAGAAATGAGTAACAGGACAAATAGGCTGGAAAAACAGCTTCTATCCCAGGGCAGTAACTCTACTGAACTCTACCGTATAGTGCAATATTAATGCAATATCGGGTTTTCGGTTCAATTGTATAGAATTTAAAGGATGTGTGTTTGTGTTTTATTTTTATACTGCGTTTCCCGAAAATAAGACACTAAACTAAACTAAACTAAACTAAACTAAAAACTAAACTAAACTAAACTAAACTAAACTAAACTAAACTAAACTAAACTAAACTAAAAATGGGATCATGCAAAGAAACTTTTGTTCTGCACAGAAAATGACTTTAGTTCTCTCTTCTTTTTTGGAAGAGATTTTTTTTCTCTTTTTTTTAAAATACAGAACAATAGACTTGGAAGGGTCCCTGAAGGTCTTCTAGTCTAACCCCCTTCCTCAAGCCTATGCCCTATTTCAGACAAGTGGCTGTCCAATCTCTTCTTAGAAGCATCCCATTTTTTTTTTTAACAGAACCATTTTTTAAAAACAATTTAATGGGGGTTGGGGTCTCTCAGCACTGAGAAAACAGATGGGGAATTAATCAGGGTCAGCCTCGGGAATAATCCTGTCTGCAGAGCTGATTATATACATTTATTTATTTATTTTTTCAACCAACCAACCCGAGGAAGCATTTTTTCTGTTTTCCTGTCTGAGTTACTCAGGGCGGCTTCAAAGAAAGACTCAGTGAAGTCAACAGACGATTGTTCTCCAATGGTTGCAAGCATAGATTCAGATTAACAGAGTTGGAAGGGACCTTGGAGGTCATCTAGTCCAACCCCCCGCTCACACAGGAGGCCCGCGCTAGGGATTCGAACCACCAAACTGCCGACTTTTCTGATCGACAAGCTCCGTGTCTTAGCCACTGAGCCACTTAGTCAGGCCATAGTCTTCCTTACTTGCTTTCTGAGGGAAGAAACTGCACAGAAGTGAGATAAAAGCTAATAAAAGAGCGGATTTTGCAGGATGGGGTTAACGAAAAAAATCCCAAAAAATCAGGGTTTGGAATTGTGCGGTGCCTTTTCAGACACAGGATGTGCAACGCATGTCGAAAAAGTTCGGGGGTTCAGTTGCACTGTTGTGGCCGCCATCTTGATATTTTAACACACAGACACCCTCTAGTCCCGTGATGGCAAACCTATGGCACGCGTGCCACAGGTGGCATGTGTAGCCATATCAGTGGGCACGCGAGCTCAGCTCCGGCATGCATGCGTGCGCTGGCCAGCTGATTTTCGGGCCTTTTGGGCCCACCAGAAGTAAGGAAACAGGCTGTTTCCTGCCTCCAGAGGACCTTGGGGGGGGGTGGGGAAGGCCCATTTTTCTCTCTCCCCAGCCTCCAGAGCCTTTCTAGGAGTCTGGGGAGGGCAAAAACGGCCTTCCTCACCCCTCTCCGGAGGCCTTCTGGAAGCCAGAAAGGGCCCATTTGGCAACTTCTTGGAACCAACTTGGAAGTTGGCAAACGGGCCATTTTCAGCTTCCAGAGGGGAGGCTGTTTTCACCCTCCCCAGATTCCTAGAAAGGCTCTGGAGGCTGAGGAGAGCAAAAAAACAGGCCTACCGTGCCATCGCGTGCCAGGAGTGGGGGGAGCGGGCGGGAGTGCATGCGCGGGGACAGGACTTTTTTGCCCGTTTTATGACCATGCAATGAAACAGGTAGATCTTAATTCTTTACCTGTCCATACAGGTGTTTCTGTGTGCAATCTGGACTTCCTAAAATGTTATAAAATAAACGTGTCAGATCTCCACTTCTTAACTTCTGAGGTCTCAATGCACCAGTGTTAAATGAACATTTACACACAACTTTTTTACTATTTCTAAAGTTGTGACGCTCGGATGTGGCCACCGTCCTATATCGTATTACAAAAAGGATGTTGATTATCGTCTAGTCCAGGGGTCTGCCACCTTAAACACTCAAAGAGCCATTTGGACCCGTTTCCCACAGAAAAGAAAACACCGGGAGCCACAAAACCCTTCCTGTGCCTGACTATTTCTTGAGCGGCCACAAAACTAGCATATGTAGTTGAATTAAAGATTCTGTTTTCTTCTGAAACTTTTCTTTTCTTGGATTTATCCATGGTTGGCCTACTGGGGGTTGAAAAGCTCAATAAATCGCGTGCCGGCAGGTGTCGCACATTGGCGGTTGTGACGCATATTTTGAGTGACAGGGAGCCACAGCAGAGGGGTGAAAGAGCCACATGCGGCTCCAGAGCCGCAGGTTGCTGACCCCTAATCTAGTCAAAATGCCTGCAAAACCCTAATACTAAAACATTAACGACTGCAGCATGTCAAAAGACCCCTCCTCATATAATCTCAGGGGAAAAGGGAGCCGTAGCTAATTAAACCAAATTGGACTTATTAGTGGAAGACAGAGGGGGAATTTTCAGTGCAAACCTTGGACAGCTGTCTCCCGTTCTTAGCACTTAGCTTTTAAAAGGGGCTATTTTCCCCCCCATAAATTCCGAAATCCTTCAAAATTTCCACTGAGATGCTTGCTGCCAGGATGAACTCTCTTCAAAGCCGTATAAATATTGAAAGAGACGCAACAGGGCAGGCTAAGCAATATTGATGGGTGGACTGTGGTTTTGAGGTTTTTACAATTAGGCTCCAAAGAAGCAGTCTTTTGAGTTACGACCGTAATTGAGCACCAAAATTTAGGAGTTGTGACGGTCGTACAGCAGGCGACCACACAGCCAGACCCAAATTTTTTGCAGCAATTGTTAAGCAAACACCACCGTCGTTAAAGTAAACCCGTTATCGGCCATGGGGGAGATTTTGCAAAGCAAAAACATCATGAAATCACAATTGTGGAGTTGTGCAAACGGCCGTAAGTTGGACTGATTGCTGAGCATCCAAACTGCAGTCATGTGACTACGGAGAAACCCAGATATTAATTTTGAAATTGGGTTGTAAGTAGCTTTAGGAGAGCCCGTCGTAACTTCGAACCATTGCTAAGCAACCGTTCGAAAGTCAAGGACCTCCTGTGTCATTCCAGAACCACAGTACATAAAACTTACTGCTGATTTTAGACATAAAATTTGAGAAATACCCCTCAAAAATAACATTCCTCTCTTCCCTCTTTGATCTTTCCCCGAAAACCAGCCTTATAAAAATCGATATTCCCGTTTTCCCCAAAGGATTTGATTCCTTCAAACGGGTTTTTCCTCTGCCAGGCTGAGATTTCAAAGCGCTTAAGAGGAAATCTTGGATCGAGACCCGAAATCTGAAACTGGCTTTAAGAAGCGGGAAGCTGAGAAATTGATATCCGGATTTGCTGAGCACAATATCACTAGACTCTGTTTTTGGTTTTTTTGCAAACGAAAATAGACCTTTTTCCGGAGAGTTGGTCCTGCCCCTGGGTTGCAAGGGGGACAATACTGCCTTTCATTCATCTCCAGAAATCATAATAAATGAGGTCATTGGAGCAAAGCTGCTCAGGCCAGCTTAGGAAAGAGATTGGCTGCCAACAGGAACGGGCAGGGTGAGAAAAGAAATGAAAATATGACACCCCAGTCCTAGCACGAGGCACTCCCCCCCAAAAAACCTTCAACTTACGTTCATAATTAGGAAACAGAATTCCCACTGCTAAGCGAGGCCGTCGGTAAGGGAGTTGCACCATTTTTTGATTACAAATAATATTTAAACCATTCCAAAAATAAACTTCA